TTGTATCTTGCTTTTCCTTTCCAGCCTTCTACCTTAGAAAAGTATCAAAGGTTATTTATATTTTCTCCATTAGGCCTTAATACTTTCATTATGGAAACAATATGCTGATTCCTGTGATTGTTTACAATTGTGGTTTTTTGCTAGTCTTGCAAAATGTCTTGCTCCTTTTTTTCCCCATGCCAGACAGAGAGTAAGGCAGTTATTGCATGTCAAATGAATGCATATAGTTATATGTTAGAAGTGTTTCTGACTGTGAGAAGGCTTCTTTCTAATCCACCTGAGTGACTTGAGTCTGCAGGTCATTATTTTGGTTACTAGCACAAAGTAATCCCAGCAGTTTTAGAGGAAAGGAAATTGCCACTCAACCAGTATCATTCCTGATAGAATGAGGAGTGGAGACTTAGATTTTAAAAAGAAGAATATAAAAATGTAGAAGCGAGCTGATGCAGAGTTGGTTTTCACATTGTGCATTGCTGGATAATCATCTCTGTGTGTGCTTTTTCTTGGAGAAGTAATGTTTCCTCACTGTCTGGTTTAATAAAAGAGGATTTATATTAGCTACCTTCCCAGCAGACTTCTAAAGCTTGTGTAACTCTCCCTACAATATCATGATGAAAGGTATGTGTCTAGAAACAGTGTGTCATTTAACATTCTTGTTCCCTGTGATTTAATAGAAAATATGTGGAGAAAGTATACAGTATGCTTTTAACGCAGCAGTGACTCTGATATGATGCTGATCATGATGTGTGTTTGTTGTTTTTTTTTTTTTAATGGTATCTGCATCAGTAGGACTGGTTTATTATTTCTAGATGTTGATATACGTGATTTTGGGCAAAGTTTCTGTCTCCGTCTGTGCACAAACTGGAGGACAGAGTTGGTCGCTATGGTGCTGATGCCATGGATGAAGCTTATGAGATCTGGCTGTCCTGAGACCATCTCCACATCTGTGTTTACCATTCTCAGGCATAGCTCTGAGAATGGTAATTTCCCCAGCAAGGGAATTCACCCAGCTGCATTATACATGCTTTGGAATAGTCCACCAGGACAAGATGTTGGTGACTGTCCCAGGAATACATTGCTCTGAAGAAAAAGAGAAACTAAATCATTGGGAGGAATTACCTCTCTGAGCTGCCCATACCAGGATAGTCATTTAGTTCAGAGGGATGTGCAGGACACTGTTCCAGTATACCATTAAGCCAAATACCGTGAGTGATAACCATGAGTTATTCTTTATGCCTTTATGTATAACTAAAACCTGTCATAAAAGACTAGAAGCCAGTTTTTATCAGTTTTGACACAAGTATAAATCAGGAGCAGTTCTGTTGGCATTACTGTAACAGTAAACTGCAAAGTATCTCTTACCAAGAGACAAATTTGGTTTTATGTGGAATGAGAGTGGGTGCTACTGTACCACAGGTTTCAAGGAGCTGTGATTCAGCGTGACCCATATCACATTGTCTGCAGTGTTTCAGATTTGATGCAATTCCCCCAAGACCAGTTGAGATCATGAAACTGGAAGCATTTTTCATTCTTGTAGGGTGAAAACTGTCATAGAAATGAATGTGATGACTGGAAAAGCAAGTTACATTCTCAGTGCTTTAAAAATGGTGAGATTTTGTTTATCATTTGTTGTTGAAGCTATCTGATGAGTTTTCATTTTTGCTGATGTTATGCAATTTTGAAGCAATAGCTTTGATTATTAAGTTGTCCCATACAAAGATACAAAGTTTTAATTGACAGTATGTGGTTTAGGATGAAATGAAAAACTTGTCATGATTGTTGATTCAAGCGCAGTGCAGGGAGTGCTGGAAGTCTCAAGGTAATTGAGTTCCTGAAACGGATTAGTGAATCAGGCCTCAGCAAAGGAGTGGCCATCCTGTCATTAACACCAGCCACTTTATTGCCTAAGCAGAAAAGATGGTCTTAGAGCACAATGATTTTGTGTAGAGTTCTCCCATTAGCATCAGCCTCTGAAGGATCCAAACCTAAAATGCCTGTGCTTGAACACTACTGAAAATAAGGTGAGCCTGCTCCTTTGTCTCCTGTCAATAAAGGAAAAGCTTCTTTATTCCAAGGAAGTAGTGGTAATGTTTGCAAATGTTTACAAAAGCCTACATTTTTATTTCTTTATTCATTTCTGTTAGCTTTTGAGTAAAGATAATGGTTAATTAGATAGCAAATACCATCAAGAACCAGCATGCAAAAAACCCCCCATATTTCATAGGGTTGATTCACTGCAGTATTTTGTGAAGGTCAGGTCTTATAATTTCCTATTTTTCATTCTTGAATGTGAGGCTACATGAGAAAGCAAGTCTGTTCGTCCCCTAGCATTGCACAGTCTTCAGTCATATTTCTAAATAGAGAAAGAGGGAAAAAATAAGCTCTTAGCAGAGCTGTATCTCTTTAGAGAAGTTAAACAGTGAGATACAAGTTTTGTACTTTTGTATTTTGTAAAGTTACAGGAAGATGAAAGAGGAACAGCCTTGGCTTTTATTGCAGGATACTGAACAGAAGATTCTCCAGTCACAAAATGTATAGGAAATTCTTGCTTGTTCTGATTTCTGGCCTGGTGAGTTAAAGAGCAGTTTCATCTGGCTGCACAGTAGAATAATTTTTTGGATGAGTCTTAGAGGTGAATTTGACCAGAATGTGTGTGTGCTTCCACAGAGACCTTCAACATCAACATAAGACTTGAGATAATGAGTTGTTTGCTGAGTGTTTTGGTTGAATTTTCTCTGAATCAATTAATTTTATGCAGATTTCCCAAATATATGGAGGAGAGTGGGAAACAGTATTTAATGTGATTCATTTTGTTTGCATATTTAGTAGAAAATAGCTTATAAAATACAGTGTGTTCTGTTTTTCTTGAAGGAGCTTTAATTGCAGTGAGTACTGTGTTTCAAAGTGACTCTTTTGAAGTTGAGTTTTATTTGCTGCTCAGCTTGTTGTTTTAAATAAAAATCCTTGCATATTCTGATGAATATTTGCAGGTGATGAGGGGAGTCAAACCACATAAGAGCACCAGGTGTATTAATGAGCTTTTACAGCTATTAGTGAGCTGTAAAATTCTGGACTTAACCTGCTTATTATTGCAAACTGGGACATTGGCTCCATGCCATCTTCAGGTGTGTCAGTCACAGGCTGAGTCTGTGCAGCACTACTCACCTGTGTTTTTAAGGGCTTTTAAATAAACAGATGGCTGCCGCAGAGTATTTGAGGCTGGAAGTTTTGGGTCTTAGTAACTAGCAACAAATTGTAGGGCAAAGTTGGCTGTTTAAAAGTATCTTCATTTCCTGCCAATGGCACTTAACTGTTCCAAGGCTACTTTTGTTTAAAGTCTTCTTTCCCTGATCTTTGTCAGGGAAAGAATTTCTGGACTGGAATATTCAGGATCTCAGTCTTTGAATAGAGATCAAGGGGCATGTCAGATATGACTATAATCTCCCTGGAGCTAATTCCAAGATTTCTTGGATTTTGCAGATATGGAAAAATGACTGTTTATAAGGTAATGATTGGAATATCCCTCCATCATGCCATCAGGAAAAGTTAAAGCAAGCACTTCTCTGCTGATTCCATGTGACTGCTGCTTGCCAACAAATTAGCTTGCATGCTAGTCTTTCACATATTTAGAAGAGGATTTTTTTGTGGCACTTACATCCTATTGTGTGGACACGGGGTCTAGCACACCAAATTTCTCTTTGCTAAGGTAGGTGTTACTTTCTTGTGGATATTAAGAAGAAAGCAACACCTTTTTCTCTTCCTTTTTGCCCCTCAGCAAAGCCTTAGGCAGCTGTCTTCAGAAGAATTTATTGCTAGGCACACACTGCCTAGTAAAATTTTTGTGGACATTATTTTGGTTAAGGGAAACAGTGGAACGCAGACAATCCCATAAGAATTGGCCACTAATAGGGGAGGATTTTTGTATTGCTATGCAGGTTTAAGATATATTGTGTTATTTAATTTAAGTATTGCACAGAATGAAATGCTTATTCTCTATATTTATTCACAAAATCATTAGTACTAAAACAAAAGTCTAATTGAAGCAGCGCCTATCTATACTGTCACTCCTAAGCGTATACATTTAGTGATAATATACTTTCTTTCTTGTACATATATGAGAGCAAACAAAGCTGTAATGCAGCAATTTATTTGTTCTGTCAGGCTCACTGTTGGAACCATTCCACTGCCAGCTTAGGTTAGATGGAACAACACAAAGTCTATGCTCTTGCTTTTGTAAGGGCAATGCCAAGTATTCCCCTGTAAAGAAGATTAATAGAGCTATAAAAAAGTGGTGGCTTCACAATTGCTAATAGTTCTACACAGTCCAATAAAAATCTAAGTCCACTACTGAATTTCTGAAGGTGGGTCAATAAAAGTAACAAACTCCATACAGTTTTGTGGGAAACAGGAATTATTTCTGTGTGATACCATAGTTATCCTTCTTATTTGGTTCTATGTGGTGTGCAAAAGTGAACACCTCAGTAATTTAAAACAGAGAACAAATATGGATAAGTTTTGCTTGCTGATTTCTTTTTGCCACAGAGATGAGCACTGAAGCTATGGCAAATGCTTAGAGGCCCCATTGGTAGCTCCAGGAGCAGTTAGATAAAGATTCTAAATGGTCACAATTTTTTTCCTACTTGACTTATATGCACATTTAAATGTTATACAGTGGCTGTAAAAATGTGGCAAAGTGAAAAAGTTGGTTTTAAAATTTGAATATCGTACAAGATTTATTGAATTCCCATCTTTATAACTTAAGAGCCTCTATTTGGGTAGATATTTTAAAAGAACAGAGAAGTTAATTCCTTAATACTTCAAAAAATGAGTCACTTAAAAAAAATTAAGTCTTCTAGTTAGGGGTTGGGCAGTTCTTAAGGCTAGCATATTACACATTATATTTCATCTTATAATTGCTAGAAAATTCTGGTAAAACAGTAACAAACTGATGGGACCAGACTTGAATTTGCCATTGATGTGTATTGTTTCTGTATCCTTAGGGAAATGAAGCCTTTCAGGGGGGCTTTCAAGAGGAAGAGCTGATAAATTTCTCTGAAGTTGATGCAAGCTTCTCTGGGAAAAAGACCAGGGCCTGGAAAGCCTGTGATAGAGAGCAGCTGTTTCCAGACACTTGCATTAAATCTCAGACGTGCTTTCCTGCCAGCTACTTCAGTGCAGAAGATTAACAAACATGTCCATAGCACTCAAGCAAGTCTTTAATAAAGATAAGACTTTCCGCCCAAAACGCAAGTTTGAGCCTGGAACCCAGAGGTTTGAACTTCACAAACGAGCGCAGGCATCTCTCAACTCAGGTGTGGACTTGAAAGCAGCTGTGCAGTTGCCCAGTGGAGAAGACCAGAATGACTGGGTGGCTGTTCATGTTGTCGACTTCTTCAACAGGATCAACCTCATTTATGGGACTATCTGTGAGTTCTGCACAGAGAGGAGTTGCCCAGTGATGTCTGGAGGCCCCAAGTACGAGTATCGGTGGCAGGATGACTTGAAGTACAAGAAGCCCACAGCACTGCCTGCACCCCAATATATGAATCTTCTCATGGACTGGATTGAGGTGCAAATCAACAATGAGAATATATTTCCCACAAGTGTAGGTAAGTGTAAGGAAGAGGTCCTAAAGCATAAACTGCCTTTCATTCTTGTACTAAGCATGTTCTCTTCCCACATATTTAGGGATATAAAAGCTGTTGAACAGCAGTGAGGAGTAGGAGGGATCAGAAATAGTATGTAGTTCATGAAATGTTAACTATGGTTTCTAGGTATGATAGTGTTTGTTAGCCTTAAACGTTTATCCCTAATGATTCCTCAGGTTAATCACTGAGGGTGATCAGCATTGCATTAATAACTTCTTGAAAATTAATCAAATTTGTATGGCTTTGCACTTTGGCCAGCTACTTACATACAGAATGGATGGAAAGCAAAACTGGTCAGACTGCTCTCATAGTGTACATTTATGTACAAGACAGTGGAGAATCAAGAATGCAATGAACTTAGCTCTCCCACCCTCTCTTGATTTCTCGTCAAAAACTCAGAGGTTGTGAATTATTCTCCAAAGTATTGTTTTCAGTACTACATATAACTAATAAGCATTGTTATTATTTAAGCAGACAGCCTAGATGAGAGAGCTGTTAACAGCTTCACGTATTTCCTTCTATAATATTCTCTCTGAAGAGTGGCACAAGTAGGTTGAAGTATCCTTGCTGAAAGTGGAAGAATGCATTGCATAGTGCTGACAGCATAAATATTTACCTATGGCTGCATGCAACAACAAAAATGTTATGCTTTCAAAATGTACTTGCTTGATTTTTAGCAATTTTAATTAATGGTTTACTGCTTTCAAATGTAAAAGCTAGGGGCTTTCTGTAAGAAATGTAAGTTGTTATGTACTACTTGGCCCAGATGAGTAACAAACAGGAAGAATGCCATATGTTTAGATAAGCTCAGCCCAGTATTTTGGAGTTTATATAGGCAGCTAGGTCCTGCGACTAATTGGTAGATCATGCATCGAGAGTCTGCGTCTATCAGTGTTTCCAGACCTTTGAAATACCTTACACTTGGACTTGATGGCTGTCTATCTGGACAAATCTGTGGTTTGTTTCATAGTTTCTATCACTTTTCTGTACTACTTTAATAGGTAGAAAGGATGCATTAATTACATTGTTAATCTGGACTTTGACAACATGGCAAGAAGAAGGATGATATCAGAAGAAGCAGTATCATATATTTTTTGTGAGTGAAAAATGGGTTTGTTTTCTCAAGCACTAATTGCTTTTGTTTCTTCAGGGTAAATGACTTTTGGAGTTGAAGATTGTCTGAAGGTGCTGAGAAATAGATGATTTTGCTTCCACTGGTATTTCTGCAGGCTTTTGTTATACCAAATTTCTGCCTTGGAGTATTCCAGTATTGTTCTTTTTTTGTGTGATTTGCATATGTAGAAAGTGTTTGTCAGCAGATATGGGGAACAGGTAGCACAGCTGGTGTGCTGATGGGTTTTACTGAACCAGCTAATAATCTCTAACACACAAGCATTCAGCCCTAGATGCTCCACCATTATATTTGCAATAAGACACTTCTGAAGGAACTTTTGTCCTGATGGTTTACTTATTGTAAGCTAAGAATGACATCAGTAAATACTCTCAGTCTACTTCTCCCAGCTGCTTCTGCTGTTGTCAATTAAGTCAAACATGAAACAACTGATGGAGGGGAAAGATGTCTGGTCTCTAAAATGGGGCTGGACTCTGATAAAAGTAAAAACAGGAAAGCCCAATGTTCATAAAAATCTTTGTCTTACTCTGAATTGATCCAAAGGAAAGGGACAAGTCTGCTTGTATTGGACTTTGCTGTATTCATATTACAGACTGAGATGATTGGACAGTCTTGTAAAGAGATTCTGTAGATACCTTTAGAGCATTATTAGAGCAGTTCTTGTACCCCTGTTTCTCTCTTGCATCCTCTTCAGCCTTTGCTGCAAATACCATGCTGGCCCCCTGCATATTTCTCATTTTCTTTTTGATTAACCACTTTCCATATGAAAATGTTGATAAAATTGTTTGGGAGGCTTTAGATCTTTCAATTCAGGGACAAACACATGGTATGTTGAATTTAGTATTCTGGGTATCTCTTATGTGAGCAAGTCCCTATTTAGGGACTCAAAACATGCAAAGGGAAGTTTGGATCTGTTCCTGGGGTAAGTTGCCTTTCAAAAGAATATTTTTGGCCGATTTTCATATCAGTCCCAAATTTGGATGTGATACTACCTGTAAACCTATCTGAGTACTGCATTATAAAGCTGTTGAATGAAATTCACTGAACATGTGTATTGTTACCTGTGCTGCATTTCACAAGTGATCAGAGAGGGAACCTTTGTTGCTGTGTTAGATACTGTTTATTCCTATCTGTTCTGCAGCAGCCTTTTGGTTAGCCTATGCACCATAGGCATAGTGCTAATTAAAATATCTGTTTTAATTCACATAAATTAATGGTGATGAGTATGACAATTCTTCATTCTTCACAGCAGCTGAAATAAATCTTGAAAGATGATATACTCAGAAAACAAAACAGGCTTATATATGACCTTACTAATAGGACAACAGTTTTAAAGTGTTGAGTGGCTGTAAATTAGAGATTGCTTCATTGCTTTGAATCTTTCTAGTCTAAAGATAATTGTTCTAGGAAAAAAAATGTGTCCAGTGGATGGTATTTGGGCTGACTTTTTCATTAGCAGATAAGTTTAATGAGGAGATCCAGAGCTGGGTTAGTAAGTGCTGTTCACAGAAACCCTGAACACACTTTTCTCAGCTTAATCCTATTAAACTTTTCCTCTTTCATTTAGCATGTCTTATGCAAACTATCTAAAGAAGGATTTCAAGAGCTGTAATTAAGTGCAGCTTTCACTCAGGAGCTAGTTTCAAGGAAAAAATTTCAGAGTAGGGATAGCAAGGTTTGGTGGGATCTTCATTTTGTGGTGGTGGTTTTCCTCAGTGGTAAAAAAAAACCAACCAAACAAAAAGAAAACCAAACCAACCAACCAAACAAACAAACAAAAAAAAAAACCCAACAAAAAAAACCCACAAATGCAATTGAGTTATAAATTGTTATAAATGTTATATTTAACCTTGTCAGTGTTTGTACTGGCACAATGGCCTATGGCCTCTTACCAGTCATCTGTGGTCTGATGTGATCTGATTTCCTTTCTGCTTTCCCCTGTCCTTCTGGTTTATTCATTTTATGATAAAGAGCCTCATCCCTCAGCCACTCTCCCAGTTACAGGGAGCTGGTTGCATGGAAAAAGAACTGTCAAGAATTGTGTGCAGGTGATAAAAGCAGGTGCTGAATATCAAGACCACTTCTTTGTATAGCAAACCTTGAACGACTGTTTTTATAAAATGGCCTCACCTTCTGTAGAAGATTGTTCATGATTATGTTCTTATGTCCTTAGTGGGTGAGAATGCAGGAATAGAACAGAGTCTGTACACCTGCTCAGCCACTGCTGAATCTATCCATCCCCAAAATTAGTTTTTGTAATGTGCCTGGTGTTTATTTAGCTTTAGAGTAAATTCTTTGGTAAGTACTAGTTGCTCTTTAGCGCACCTACTAGTCTCACTGTTTGACACTTTTCAAGGAATATATTTCTCAGCCTTTGGTAAACAGGCTGAAGAAATAATTTGGAATGGAAAGCAGTAGATCCTAGGAAAAGATGCACTTTTTGTTGAACTGTATCAGCTTTCACCAAATGAGTAGTTTTGGCAACCTCAAAAAAGGAGCTAAGAAAGAATTTTTTATTGGAAAGAATTCTTACAGAAGAATTCTATTTTTATGTGCTCCCTTTAAATTCTGATTTCAAAACATGATAAAACAATTTGCTTTAGGTTCTTTCCTGTACTCATTGCAGCCATAAAATGAGAATAATTATGTATTGTTGGTATGCTGAGGTTTTTTCTGTTGTAAGAGTTACTGGGAAAGATACACAGAAATTTAAGGCCACAGGGTATTATGTCATTTATTCTAATCTGAACACCAGCATAACACAGGCCAAAGAACATCACCACATGATTTCTTCATCTGGTCCACAGATTGAAATGAGAAGATGGTCAAGCAGCAGAAAATGTTGCTGAAACTAACAGAAAATTGACTTCTTTTCTGGCTTGACATAATGAAATTTTTTTCCCAATGAAGAAAATTGGGAAAGGAGAAGAAGAAGAAAATTGAAGAAAAGTAGTTGAGAGAGAACAAAGGTTGTGCCATCTCCATCTTTCAGGGTTTGCAAGACCAGGCAGAATAATGCCCCAAGCAACCTAATCTGATGGGATGCAGACTTCCCAAAACCAGTGCTAGCTTTAAATATTCTGTGATTCTTAATTCAAATTTCAGCACTGCCAGGCTGCCTAAAGAACTAAATGAGCTAAATTTATTGAAACCTGATTAAGCAGTTTAAGAAACCACAGTTTGACATTTAAAGGATGTACAAAATCACTTTTAAGGTATAAGAGTTCTTGTATAGGAGGATTTTAAAAGTTATTAATTAATCAAATAGCCTAGTTATGGCTGATCAAAATAAAAATACATCAAACATATTTAAAACCTAGGACTTCAGCTGAAAAATTAATGTGTCTTTATCAATACTTTGGCTGTTCCATGCTTGGCTAGCAAATTTTGGTATCTAACAGCTTCAGGTTTTGCACAGAGCATGTGTATGATGCTGCTTTCAAAGAAAGGAGCCTAGTATGTCACAACAATTCACCTACTAAAGCAGACCAAGATTCTGGAGGGCCTTTGTAGATATGATTCAAATTTTTCTATGGTTTCCTCCTAATATTGTGGTATTGTAGAATTTTTTACAGTTATTATTGTGGAATTTTCTACAGTTTTCTTTTCTTACAGTTATGTCTGTCTTATTCCTGTTCCAAAGTACGAGGAAGTGTCCATAGTGTGGGCAAAGTGGTGCTTGCTGGCATTTCCTGCACACACTTTTTATTCATTTTTTTGCTGCTGTTGCAATTGCACTATCTAGGAGCTGCCATTGTTTCATGCACACCCACCCCACAATGAAAAATATACAATCTCTATAGCTGGTATGTTTCCATTTTTTTTAAGA